TCAGGAACTCTCTACCACCCCAGCCTGCCTTTGGTTCCAGCTCACCCACCCTCGGCAAGAACAAACTGCCATCAGTCAGTCATCTCATCAACCCCCAACAACGCAACACACTCACCCCATCCAGCATGACTGGAGGACTAACTGACAGTAAGGGCTCTATAAAATCATCAATAATTCCATAACTATATATTAATAGTCTATCTACAAATGTCTCAGTGTATGTTAGGACTAACAAAAGATCGTATAAACAATATAAAGTGATTTCTGATCTAATTTTTGCATGAAGAAAGTGTCTCAGAACCCTTAGAATCTCAGAGTCCCTAGTGAAGAAGATCCTGTCTGGGCTTGAGAAACACTCAGTTCTCAATGTCAATCTGACAAAGAGTTTCCTTTTAAAATTGAACTAGATCTTTGTGGGACAGTCTGCCTTCCCTTTGGCACTGTCAAAATGTACTTACACATGACAAATATGCATTCTCACATTTCACACAGCAGGCCAAAGGTTTCATATGTTCTGAAATTACCTAATCCATATTTAGAGCCCTCCGGTGTTTGTTATTTAAGTCAATTTCAGTTTATGTAGTGTGTGTATAATATATAATATATAGGCTATAAGAAATGTGGGCAGGTTGGGGACATAGAAAATATTGCATGGTTTTATTTTATTGGTAACACTTTACAATAAGGTTAAACATTAGTTAATGCATTTGTTATCATGAACAAACAATGAATACTAAATTGTAATTTTACATTTATTGGTTAAATATATAGATTTTTTACATGTTTTTGAAATTAATTTCTTATTCCGACTAATGCTGCCTGTATTTGACAAATACTGTAAAATTTATCATTTTACTTTTGCACACCAATTACAATTTAAAACTCTGTTTTCAGAATTTGATAAATAAACAGTTCAGTTTTTGAAAATCTTACCCCAAACTTTTGAATGATAGCGCATAATGGTTTACACAAAAATATTAAGCTGCTACTGTTTTCAACATTGATAAATGTTTCTTGAGCACCAAATCATCATATTACAATAATTTCAGAAAAAATTATCTGACACTGAGAACTGGGCTAATGGCTGCTAAAATTCAGCTTTGCTATCACAGAATTAATTCACATTTTATAATATATTCAAATAGAAAGCAGCTTTTACTGTATTTTTGATCAAATAAATGCAGCCTTGGTAATCATTAGAGACTTCCAAAAAAAAAAAAAAAAATCCTACCGATTCCAACCTTTTGACCGGCAGTGTATATTCTTCATTGTTTTCTCATGTTTCTTCATTATAGTTTATGTAGAAATTACTATGAACAAGTATTATGCTGTAAATGTTTATTTTATTAGTTCCTGATACCTAATGCATTAACATTGAACCTTATTGTAAAGTGTTACTGTTCTATTTCCCTTTTTTGAGGTTTATTACAGTCTCAACACTTTCCCCTCCCTTCAGTGACCCCTCCCATGATGGGTGGCCCAGTTCCCATGAACACGGACATGAGTGCCCTGAGCCCCACCAACCTGCAGCCTCAGTTACAAATGGTGCCCTCCTCTCACTGCACACCTCCGCCACCCTACCCCATGGATAACAGCATTTCCAGGTACACAAATACACTTACAGTAAGTTTCTCTGAAACAGCATGCAGGTGAAAGTGTAATATCGTAATCATGTTATGTAATCATGTGTTAAAGCTAAATATCTATCAATTGCAGCTTCCTGTTGAGACTGGGCTGCTCAGCCTGTTTGGACTATTTCACAGCCCAAGGATTGACCAATATCTACCAGATTGAGAACTACAACTTAGAGGTGAGGAATTTGCCTTTCTCCTTAATGTTTTTCGTATCAGTTCATATTTGGAAAAACTATTTCACAGGTACGTTTAAGTCTGAACAGATTTTGAGAGATTTAGCATCTTGCTCACCAGTGGATCCTCTGCAGTGAATGGGTGCTGTTCAAACTGCTGATAAAAACATCACAATAATCCACAAAATGGCTCGATTAACATCTTATGAACGGAAAAGCTGTGCGTTTGTAATAAATCCATCCAGACATTTTTAACTTCAAACCTCTATCCGTAATATTGCTTTCGCCAGTGGAAAAAAAAATCTCTCCTGAATCGGGGGAGAAATATGCATAGATCATGCACTGTCTAAAACGATCAAAAATGGTTCTAAAACAATATGTTGGTTTGTTTTGGAAGGACAACAGGGGATATATGTTTTCATGGAGGAAGTGTTCTTATGGATTGACGGTTTAAATTTCAAGCATCTTAATGGATTTGTTTCTTACAAACAAGCAGCTTTTCACTTCACAAGACCTTAATTCATCAACTGGAGTTGTGTGGATTGTTTATGGATTATTCACTGCAGAGGATCCATGTCAAAATATAGGATCTGGCTTGTCTGAGAGATCAGAGCAGTGGCTACTGTATTCATGAGCTCTGTGGTATATCTATCCACAGGACTTGTCCAGGCTGAAGATTCCCCCAGAATTCCAGCACATCATCTGGAAAGGAATCATGGAGTACCGGCAGACCATGGAGTTTTCTCCACCTCCCCACATCTTGCGCACCTCTAGCGGGACATCCACCGTCAGCGTGGGCTCCACTGAAGCCCGAGGCGAGCGTGTGATCGATGCAGTGCGTTTCACTCTCCGTCAGACCATTTCATTTCCTCCACGAGACGACTGGACCGATTTCTCTTTTGACCTGGCTCCAGATTCTCGCCGCAACAAGCAACAGCGTATCAAGGAGGAGGGAGAATGAACAGTGCATCACAGTTCACAATGATATACGTACATACAATATCAACCGTGCACATTTACTGTACATAAACACTCACACGCTCTGTTTTATATTAACACACTTGGTGTTGGTCCAGATCGTTTCACAGTTTTCCTCTGCAAGTGATGATTTAAAAAAAACTGTGAGCCTCATAGTCTAGTTCACTTAAACTTAAATGGGCAGATAAAATGCACTTAAAGTCCTTTATGGTTTCATTTTTTCTTCTGGTGGATTTAGCTCTGGTTGTCATTTCAAGCCCCTTAATTGAATGCAAACAGCAGTAGCTGAGGGGAAATGGTGCTTTGCTAAATTGTCATTTTTACTGTTTCTTGAGACAAAGCACTTAAGAAATGCTGACATGTTCTTACTACTCGCAAAATACACTGAACTTTTGGGGGGGGGGGTTTTGGTTACATGGCCAAAGGTATCTTTCTGTTTTTTCGTTTTTTTCCCCCCCCTCCCAGCAGGAGCTTTAGTGTTGATTGTATTCTTTGTTTTGACGATCATTCCTTGCAGGTGAACAATGTCATTTTAAAAACGTTGGCATTTGTCAGCTTTGATTGTATGTATTTCAAATCGAAATCGTACATGGTTCTTTTCTTTATTCTCGCAGAAAGTGTTATTCATCAATTTTCATTTGTGGTGTAAGACTGATGATGTCATGTAGCCTTTATGTAATACTGTAAACCCTTCTTTGTTTCTTTTATTTGTGAGTTGCAAACACTTGGTACTATTGAATTGCAGTTTGTACGTATTGAATTGCTTCTGATAATGCATAGACATGCTGTTTACTGGCCTCTAAAAGTATAAAAGTGTTTTACATTGGTACATTGGCCAATGTGTTTGTATATTGCCAATGTAATGTGGCTTCAGTATTTTTTTTTTTTTAAACAAATTTCCAATTCTCTTGATACTTGTTTGCCTTTAGTGGCAATATTGTACAGATTTTTTTTTATTACGCTTTCATGTGACAACAGAGTAAACAATTCTTTATCAAACTATTAAGGAATTATTGTAAATATGTTGCAATGTACTTATTTTGATATAAACAAAATAAAACAAATATCATTTAACATTGTTTTTGTATAATTAATAGAACCAAACTTTTATTTAAATAGAATGGTCAGACATGGTGGACCTTATTATAATTGTTTTAAATATGAGATTTTATCAATGGCATTCTGTGGTTTAACAGACAATAAACAATGGTTAAAAAGTTGAGCACTGGGGACACGGTCCTCTGAACATCTTTTAACGTACTGGACATAAGAAATCTTATACTCATTTAAGACTTTCAAATTTAATTTTTAGAATTTGCACAGTGTGACAAACTGACAGGACTAGTTCCAAAAATGTTATGGATCACCCTCCCTTAGTCTTAATTTTACCTTTAGTTTTCTTTACATTCACTTGACTTAAGGTTTGTGTATACTTTCATTTTTGATGGCTACTGGATTCACAAGCCCTTTTTTCTTTAGTGCTTCCGCATTAATACATAATACTTGTATTACGATTCTCAACAGTAGGTGGTAGACATTCTAAACTTCAGGTTCTCAATACATTCTCTGGTAAACTTAGCCATTACTTAGAGAAGACCCTTTTAACTGTCTCGCCAACCTGTTCCCTTTAAACTTGAAAGCTGCGATCACAAAACAACTTTATGAAACCAGAAACTGACAAAAGGTTCTAATAATTTCAGGGCGTTTTAGTCAATCAACAGAGAGAGCAGCAGAGTTGTATGGAAGTATTCATGTGTCACACTGGTGCAGCCACTTGTGCAAGCAGCATCCCGTAGGGTAGCATACTTTCCAAATATGAAAATGAAGTATATTTATTCACCTCAATGCCTGTACTGAGGCTCCAGGTGAATCTGCTTGCTGTAAAAACACTGCTCTGATAAATACATCAAACTCTTCTTCGTTACATGAGTATGCAGCAATATATGATGTTTACATCTTCAAATGACTAAATAATGAGTGACCTCAAACACCGAAGCAGATAAAGAGCAATGAAGTTCCTTGATTGAGGTTCCAAAACCGTATTCTCATCAAGAGGACCTGTTTGAGACTCATATAAAAAGCTACAGCTCATTAAGGCTCGAGACAAATAAAGGAGAGAATAAATCTAACTTGCTTAATTAGGTCAGTTTCTTGAAACAGAAATCAAAATCACAAAGCAAAATGAACAAAATAATAATTTCTCATAGATAAATACATCAAACCCTTCTCAGTTACATAAGTATGCAGCAATATATGATGTTTACATCTTCAAATGGCTAAAGAATTAGTGACTTCAAACACTGAAGCAGATAAAGAGCAATGAAGTTCCTTGATTGAGGTTCCAAAACCGTATTCTCATCAAGAGGACCTGTTTGAGACTCATATAAAAAGCTACAGCTCATTAAGGCTTGAGACAAATAAAGGAGAGAATAAATCTAACTTGCTTAATTAGGTCAGTTTCTTGAAACAGAAATCAAAATCACAAAGCAAAATGAACAAAATAATCATTTCTCATATTGACATCTCCAAGCCCAAAGTTTTAGAACTCCTGTCAATCATGATGGCAATGTGCCTTTAAAGTCATGACAGAACTCCACGTCAGTGTTGCCCAGGGAGGAGGTGGGGGGATGATGACAAAAAAACAGTGTGGGAATGCTCTACTCCCTCCTTCCCCTTCAGGCGGTTTTGGTTGGAGCTGTGGTTGTCTCCTGGATGACCAGAGAGCAGCATCTCTGATGTCTCCGTCATTAAGAGCTCTCCATAGCATCCAAAACGTTCATGATTTGCTGTTTGATTACTTTAGTGGCGTCACCCGCGTTTGGAATTAAATACCTTCAGAAAAGACGACAAGAAATATCACAACACTGACATAAAAAAAGTTGACTAAAATAAGTAAACATACTAAGCACTAAGGATGTGTAAAACATTATTATTTTAAAACGGAGTTTAATTTTGAGTTCTTAGTCTAAAGCAGTGATGGGCAAACTTGGCCCTTCCAGGCCACTTTCCTGCAGAGATTTGATCCAACCCTGATAAAACGCACCTGCCTGTAGCTTTCTAGTAGTCTTGAAGACAATGATTAGCTGGTTCAGGTGTGTTTGATTAGAGTTGGAGCTAACCTCTGAAGGAAAGTGACCTGGAAGGGCCAAGTTTGCCCACCCCTGGTCTAAAGGCACTGAGCTTTTCCCCCAAATAGCATTTTTTTCCACCTCAGTACACAAGTTCACCCAAAAATGAAAATTACCCCATGATTTACTCACCCTCAAGCCATCTTAGGTGTACTACAATACATAAAGTAGTACATAAACTACTACAAAAACTACAATAACAATTAATACTTAAATAACACTGGTCTACAGTATTATAGAGACTAGGAAATAATGTGAAATAAAAGTTAAAGTAAAGTATAGATTGGTGTCCTGTTGTCAGTTACCATACCTCTCCACAGCCAATATCTCCACTCCTGCAGCATTGTTGTTGCCAAACTTAAAAGTGATAAGTTCTGGATGCTTCTTCTTTGAGGTGATCTTCACCACAGAGTTTAGGGGCTGCCTGGATTGGATGTAAGCAAAACCTTTTCGGGCAGCGATCTCTCTCAAACAGTACATGTGTGTTGCAGTGATCAGCAGATGGCTGTGGAAGATAAAACAATACAGTTATCACCATTATACGCAACCCACCATTCACCAGATAGGACGGCCCAGTATCTGATGGGCTTAAGTATGATCATAACAGTTTTTAATATGCAACAGTATTATTTTACTGACTACCTTGGCTAAGAGATCTGCAACATTGTTATTTTACAGGGGAATCTTTTTTTTTATCCGGGAGTGACGTGCGGTGACGCGCTGCCAAGATGGCGACGGCCGGCTCCGCCTACTTTAGGCTTCAAAAACGCTCTTCGGAAACCTAAGGGTGACGTCCCGGACACTACGTCCATGTTTTTATACAGTCTATGGTTCAGACAGATAGCCTCACCTTGGGTACATGTGTCCAGTCTCCTTAACTTCATTACATGGAATATGGTGCTTCACATCTGGTTTGTTGATCCAAGTCTGAATATTGACAATCTCTTTCCTGTCATCATCTGATATAGATGAGCTGTCAATCTCTTCTGAAAAGAGGGAAGGAAATAAGAAAACATTAAGGAAAAACACAAGGACCCAGATTTGAGATGGAGCGTACCAAATGTTGAATTTATAAATATGTAGAATGGCAAAAGTTTAGTACAGTAGTTCTCAACCAGGGGGCCAGGCTCAATAGGGAGGCTTGACAAACTTCCCCAGAAAGTATTAAAATGATTTACATTTAGTTATGTTAACAATCGTATTTAATATATTCCACACACCAGTATGAAACTTATGAAAGTATGAAATACTGTTTTCACGTACTCACATGACTGCATAGGAGAGATAATCAAGATTTTTGCTAAATAATAAATAACTTTAGTTTTTTTATGCCTTCAAAACACTTAATAAAAAACAGCAAAAGTCATATGGTATTCTTTTTTTTTTAATCTGACAAATGGTCACCTTTAATTCCTTTTTAATTTGTTCTTTTGAAAAAAAAGAAATCATGCTTTACAACAATACTAAATAATAGTAACAATAATAACACCAAAATTAATGACCTCAAACTTGCCTCTGCACCTAAACCAGTGTTATTTCAGCATGTATATACTATTATGGTATTCATTCAAATTTTGAATCAGCTTTTATTTTTATATTTTCAGTTTTTATTTTATTTTTTTTACATTAGGTTTTTTTTTTTTATCTGCTTTTGTCATTTTTTATATTTCTGTTTAGCTTTAATGTAGTTTTTAGTTTTAGTTTACTACAACTTAATCTTACTTCTGTTAGTTGCCACAGCAACCTTTCTATTTATTCATTTAAATTTTGTAAATTTAAGTTTTTCATCTAATATTTATATTTTATTACAGCTTTATTTTAATTACCCCCCAAAAAAAAAAAAAAAGTAATTGTTTTTTATAGATAACGATAACAACACGGGTACAAGTGTGTATAAACTAACTCTGCAGGAAATTGCAAGTTGAGAACTCCAGGCAGGTTGAATGTCCCTGATTTAAATCGGTGTATTTACCTGTATCATACTCCTCCTCATCACCAATGCTGAAGACAGGCTTCACTCCCCTGTATGGCTTCCCCACCCGATCACTGCTGCTTACGTGCCTGAAGGAAATAAGAAGCATCATAGGTACTTACAAGACCCACTAGAAGATTAAAGGTTTGCCCTTCACACCAACATTGTTTTTCTTGTCCTAATGCAGGCATTCTAAAAGCATGGCAGTGAGATGAGGTGTCCTCTAGGATTAAAAAGGCGAGTACCGTTAGTCGGAAGAAAGAGAAGTTAACATGTTTGCAATTTACCAGTGATGAGAATCAAAGTGTGGAAGGCCAGGCACTGCACAAATGTTAATCTTTTAAGTCCATTTTACTGTAAAACTGAACAACTTTAACATTTAAATCACAATTGCCGCAGTCTTGCACAGCTGTGTTCAAATCTGAATAAAAACAATGAAGGACTGTGTTCTCTCTCCACACAAGTCAAGAACATGAGGACCCAGACAGCAGAGATCAGACTTCAGACTGTGAGACAGAAACTGCTAGCGTAAAACAAAGAAAGGAACAAAGTGGCAAAAGCACTGTTAGAGGTCAAAACAGCCAACACTGTCAGAAAGTGACGAGACCTGTGGTTCACAGCTTCCACCATTCCGAGTGGTATTTGTGAATTCTACTACACATGCGTGTGAATGTCTGGTAGTGGATGACAAAGTAGCAAATTCTAGAATGTTACTCTATTCTGACAAGTATTTTAGCAGGAAACAGGAAATTCAAAGGATGAAAAGGATATTTGTACAATAGATGCAATGCAGATGCATATGGTGTTAGAGCATTCATGAGTGTGCTATTTGCTCATGGTTTTAAAAACCCCTACAATGAGCTAAAGCTGACAGAGCCACCTTGAGAGGGCATGTTGCGGAAACCAGATGCACGCTGGTGGGGGTACAGACAAACATTAATGAAGTCTTACCGATCCAGTATTCCCTTGTCTGGCCAGGGTAGATTGAAAGATATTCTAGTGTGAAATAACAGGGCATAGGTCGGGAGGATGATTAAAACAGAAAGACTTCAGAAAATAAATCACTTTAAAGAAATCCCTCTACGTAATATAATTTAAGTTTGTTTTTGTTTTTCAAATAAAAGTAGGGGTGGAAAAAAAAAAGACAATCTAGAGGCAGTCTAGAAGTTTTTGCAACTGGCCCTCTTTTTTCAATTAATGAAGAACATATCTGGAAAGGAAAATGTGAAAGAATGCCTGTCCAGTGCAATGAATATGAAAAATGCTCACCTGTCCACCGGTGTGGAAGTGTTTTCAATGAAGCTGATCACCTTCTCTTTTACATTAACTGACTTTGACTTGAGTGCAAAGGTCATTTTGTTGACAAGTGATTTAACTCCTTTGCCATCTGTGCTGTTCAGTTCCCCCTGTATCAATATAAGAGATGGGCTGAATTAACTTTGGGAGTTAGTTAATCCAAGACTAAAGAGGCATTTGCTTATCACAGTGAAAGTTGAAACATTTAATGGCTTGCTTTACTTGAAATGTCCACAAGATGACACTAAATGCCACCCAGAAAATAAAAGGAAAATGCTACATGTATCCACCTTATTTTTCCAATGCGGAAATAAACTATCTGAATGCGAAAGACTTCATTAGCCGCTATAGGTAAATAACCAGAAGAATAAAGTACAATAAACTAATGAGCTACAAACCAATCAACATCAAGCAGCAAAACTGTATTTTTGAACAGCTAAATTAACTGGAAGTGAATGACAAAGGACACCTTGCACATTCAAAAATGGCACTGCTCTTACGTTAAAAATAAGGTGGATAAAGCTTCAGAGAAGTACCATAAAAACTCTTGAAACAGGGTTTCTGCAGGTTTTATAAAGGTACATGACTTTCAGAACTTTTTAGACCTTTTTAAGTAAAGAAAATTTAAGAAATAAATTGAAGGGAACACATTATATCAATTAGGGGTGGGCGATATGGCAAAAATATATCACGTTTTTTTGCACAGTATATTGAGCAGGGGCGGACTTGCCCATTAGGTAAAGGTAGGCGACCGCCTTGGGCCCCCAAAAGCTAAGGGCCCCCTAAAATGCTTTTCATATAGGAGATGCGCATTAAGCGCTGACACGCGAACAGTTGCTGATTACGGTGTTTATTACCACGACAACCGACTGAATTGAACGTGCTTTTTGTGTATCCTGCTTGAAGGAGATGAAAATATTATGCATCTGAAGCTGTAATTAAATATTGAGAAACAGTGTGTATTATATGTTTATAATTGTTTTAAATGCCGCTTACTCATTTAT